CCAAGAGATGGAACTATTAGAGAAGGATAATAATTCCAGTTTGTTGAAAAGGATAGAATGGTTGATGGAATCAAAGGCTTTGGAGAAGTCGAGAAGGATAAGGATTGTTAACTTTTTATCATCTATTGCAGTTTGAATGTCGCTGGTGATTTTAATTAAGGCGGATTGTGTGGAGTAGCTGGGACGGAAACCAGATTGGAGAGGATCAAGTTGGTTGGACTTTTCGAGGAAGTTGGAGACTTGGGATTGCACCAATCTTTCTAGGGGTTTTGAGAGGTTGGAAAGAATTGAGATTGGGCGGAAATCTTCGGGTGAGGTCGGATTAGAATTTTTATTTAAAGGAAGGACAATGGCTTTTTTCCAAGATGTATGGAATACTGAATTCTGAAGGGAGAAATTGTAGATGAAAAGAAGAACTGGGAGGATTTCAGGAAAACATAATTTTATTAATTTGAGAGGGATGCCATCGGGTCCTATGGAATTGGTGTGGGATTTCATTACAGCGGTTAAAAGGTCTGTGGGAGAAATGTCGGAAAAACTAAAAGTTATTGTCGTCAAATGGTATCTCTATAGGAAAGCCGGAACAGGAGGATAAAGGAGAGGTATTAGCAACAGATATAAAATGCGAGTTTAGATCATCAGGGGATATTGGAAAGGCTGTTGTAGGGGATCTGGAAGAATCACAAAGGGAGAGTTTACGAAGCAGTCGCCATTTTGATTTTATGTCAGGAGTTGAGGAAAGGGCTTCGTGGAAGTATAGGGATTTTACACGCCGGATCCTTGTTTGTGTCAAGTTGCGAAGCACCCTGAACGCTTTTTAGTCATCTGCAAGCCTAGTATGTGTGAAGCGTCTACGAGCAGCGTCGCGTCTCTTCTGCAGTTCTTTAATTCCTGACACATCCAAGGAGCAGGCCGGTGACGAAATGTAGAGGTTTTGAGAGGGGCATGGGTATTGAGGATATTATATATATATAAATAGTAGTTTTATTTTCATTAATATGTATATAGAATATTATGTATTTAGAATAGTAATTTATTAAAATATTTTATATATGTGTAGTGGCTTCGCCCCTCTTCAAAGTCCATGTTTACATGTGAACGAGAACATTAAGAGATAAGGGAATTAATGAGCAAGTCCTTTGTTAATATTTAAATAGGGACTAAGAAATTGTTTACAGTTTGAAGATTAAAGGGCTCAATGTCCATCAGCTATCTGAGCAATAGAATTATGTGTAGTGTTTACATACATAAAATTACATAAACATATTCAAATACGAAATGTTCCGAAGGGCCTGTTACAGTATTACTAGAGAGAAATACTTTATTTAAAGCAGTGCTGCCCTACTACATAAGGTTGCTCGACACACAGCATACTCATCAATCCTTTTTTTGGACATACAAACTATATACAAATTCCTTTTCATATTACACAGCACAAACAATATAACAATACATACAACTACAATTATACAATATATTATATATACATATTTCGATGAAACCGATATGAGATAATTTCTAAAATTTAGAGTGCTAAAAATATATATATAGTATTCGAATGCCAAAGTTCTAACACCATAAAATTAGAACACACACACACAACACAGACAAAAAGATATGATCAATTAAATAATATTAAAATTCAATAAATAAATAAATAATGATAATCAACTCCTAATTACCATATATGTGATGATGTATGATCCCAAGGGAGTCCAGAATAATACCCTCGGCCAACACTGCAAGCTCCCCGACATCAACACCAAGTTCCTCGAAGAAGCTCCCTGTTCTTTTAGGAATCATCATTCTGCACGGAGACCCAAACCAGAGGCCTCTCACTGTGAACTCTCTCTCTCCGAAGGTTCGGATTTCTTTTAGGAAAGGGATGCATTTCTCGTAGATTTTCTTCTTTTCTCTTTCTACTTCATTGGCTTGTTCGAGGTCGTTGCTCTCATGGCGAACAGTTGGATCCAAGACCAGTGCCGCCTTTCCGGTCCTGGAGAATGCAACTATACCCGCGTATCTTCTTGAGCCATCGCTATCAATGCAATAGACCTCGTCGAAGCATACGAATTCCCTTTCCCTAAGGAGCCTCATCAATTCGATTTTTACTCTATGGTGCCGGCCTGTTATAAGGAGGGAGTTGTTGGGATTTTCCCAGCACATGGGCTGGTGTTTCATACTCTCTGCCACATTTGCGACAGAGGGACCCAACTTCCTTCGATTGTCCACTGACCCCTGGGACTCCACGCAACGGTGCATAGTTGATGCTAAGTTTCAAGGCGTTGGACCATTCTGACCCCGAAAGTACTTGCTTCTGGCATATATAATTATTAGCTTTCGGATTCTCTTTGAAATGCCTAACTCCAACACCTTGCCACCTGCAACTGGCCCATTCTTCAAAGGAATTCCCTCTCAGCGACTGTCGTACATTTTTTCAAAAATAATAATAAAAAAATTAAACATAAAATATCGAATATCTCGAAAATGGTTGGTTTTAGAGCAAAAAGTATCTCGGCCCTAGTCTCTGAAGGGCTCTAGGGGGATCCGTAAAATCCCATGTAGAACCCGATAACATAATTAAAAAAAGTAGAGAGTTTAATGTTAGGTTATAGTAGTTGGGCGGAGAGAGCAACGCGAGGTTTGTCATAAATATATATGATCGGGTTTAATAGAATAAGGAATAATAAAAAAAATAAATATATTATTTTAAAATCTAATAAAAACATAAAATGTTGAATATCTCGAAAACGGTTGGTTTTAGGGCAAAAAATACACCCTGAAGGGCTCTAGGGGGGTCCGTAAAATTTGATGTAGAACTTATTATCGTAATAAAAAATTAGGGAGGTTACTGTTAGTTTATGATGGTTATAATGGATGGTATGGAAGGAGAACCGCCAAATTTGTAAACAGAAAGTAAACATTAGGGAAGGTATAGAAAAACAAAACGGCGGACAAAGCTTTCCTATCTCTCAAATAGCAGGTCACGTGACTCTGAAAATCTAAACATTAAGAAGGTTATATAAAAGATGAACATTAGGAAGATTACGGAAAAAATAAAATGGCAGACAAAGGCCCCTTATCTCAAACCGCAGTTCACGTGACTCTGAAAAGGTAAACATTGAGAAGGTTATATAAAAGATAAACATTAGGAAGGTTTTATATAAGATAAACATTAAAAATATTACAGTAAAAAAAAATGGCGGTCGGGCTTAACCTTTTAGAGAGGATTGGGAAGAAAATGTGAGGGTCACAGGATCTATAAGGAGTGTGACGTCATTCATGGCGCAAACCTCGTAAGTACTTGAAAAGAAGATGGGGGTCGGGCACACTCAGCCTCCGAGATAGGGGTGGGGAGGAAAATGTGGAGGTCGCACAATTGAATAGGGGTGTGGCTAGTGGTCACGTGGTCACTTATGGCTAGTGGTCGCGTTACTAAAAAGGGGCATGACCAAATGGTCACGTGACTGACCACATGGTCGTTAAGGCTGGATAGAGGTCCTAAAAGGCAGGGTCCCTTGTTTAAATTCAAATTCAAACTTCCCGCTATGATGACGTCACTGAAATACTGGCTTCTGTTTGGCTGCTCCAATCGGTGTGCCAGCTCTCCCAAACTTTCTCTATTCATGTTTAACCAATTAAGCTGAAATTCGGTATATAGGTTTTATTCCCAGGCGGAACAAACAACGGAAACGTTGTGACTGCATTATTCATAGTAAGCTCTACAAATTGATAGATTCTAACAGCATATACAAGTTTACAAAGGCTACAGGCCTGTTTTAACAAAGATTAGGATGGCCCACAATAGGTCTAAATGGGTCTGCGGTGCATTAATGCCGGAATCATATATATATATATATATATATACATATTTAGGGGCTGGGGTAGCCGTGCGAGCTAAGGAGCTTGCTATAGGTAATCAAAGTAAAGCAACGTTGAGCGTGGTTAGTACTTGGATGTGACCGTCCGCCAGGGAAAAACTATGCTGCTCGAGTCTCTCCTCCCCCTGGGTATGTGAGCCCCGTCAGGCTACTGGAGGCAACTCACAGATTTCCTTACCCCGTGTACTTAATCGGGAATCGGGATGTGGTTTACTACGATGTGAGTAACCCCTCTGAGGTTCGGCCCATGGACAGTCTGTTTCGCGGAAAGAACTAAAGGTTCTCGTGCACCTGTTGACTCTGAGCAGTCAGATCCGTGGATCTACACCGATTTGTCACTGTTCTTGAACCCAAGTGAGCCGGTGGGAAGGACACTGCCTCACAATAGGCCTTAGGGAATTAGTTCACTTAGTAATTGTTCAATAAACTACAAAATGTTCATCGATCCTGCTGTTTATTTGACGTTTAGATCTCGTGTTTGGTTTTTTTCTTTACTTAACCATGGGATCCTCTTCAATGCTAGAACAACAAATAGCTCAATTGGTACATAATTATGCTCAGATATGTTTCTAATAAGATAAATTGAATATTCATATATTTAAATTATATGAACACCTAATAAATTTTCAAATGATATTTGAAACATATGGAAGCATGGAATGGTGTACCACATTGAATTGCGTACCGATTGGGCTAATTGTTGTTCTAGCATTGAAGAGGATCCCATTGTTAACTACAAAAAAAAAAACGGTATCGAAACAGCAGGATCAATGAACATTTTGTAGTTTTTTTAATAATTATTAAGTGACCTAACTCCCAATTTACATAATTATTTATATATATATATATATATATATATATATATATATTTTTTTTTTTTTTATTTGAAATTTAATACATTCTGCCGCAAATATATATATATATATATATATATAAACTGATGCATCAAAAATGTATATTTTGTTTTTATCAGGGATTTAAAAATTAATATTCTTATAACAAATAGATAGATAATATCAATTTTATCCTTGTGTCATGATAATACAATAGATATACTGCCAAAAAAATTGTATCAGTTTAAATTAAACTAATCTTAATCCTTTAATTCTCGAATTTCAGTTGTTATCATAGACGGTGAACACCCAGAACGATCAGATGAAAACAATAAGATATTTATCGAAACAGTTGAATCTTCTTCAGAAATGGATCAAAACTCCCTATGGTTTAGAGAAGAAGAGGAAACTGATATGGAAACAACAACTAAAGGAGATGGTAAGTAGGCCCGAGTTCATCTCTGTTCTTGATTTGTTTAAACATTCTTATTGTTTACCTTCGGAAATAATAGACTATTTGCATTGTATCGAAAGTCGTCATCAGAAAGTGGGGTTTGCTAGTTCTATCCGTTTTGAACAAACCCCAAGAAATTCTACAAAAGAGATGTAAGTTTTATATATATATATATATATATATATATATATATATATATATATATATAACTTATGCCACTGTGAAGCGAAACAATAAAAAAAAGGAAAGAGGTTGAGAAATAACTAACATGGCTTTAGAAACAATACTGCTTTATTTGTAAAGTAATCCGTCTTATTTACATTTAAGGCTTTGATCACTTTTTGAATGGCATTAAGGCTGATAATGCCCGACTCCTGTCCTTATCTTCCCCCACCAGTTTACGAAATGCATTTAGAAAACTTTTAAGTAATCCTCGAGCGGAGCGAACTGTCTATCAGCCTTACTACCTCGTTTTTAGTATACCTAATACAATGATTATATTAATAAAACAAACTCAGGAGTCCACCTGCTACCTCTATGCTTACAAAAGAGAAATTAATGTACTACTAAAACAAATATAATTCTATTCATTTTTCTAAGAACTAAACAACAAAATATATAACAACACGAAAACAGGAAGTAAAGACAAATACAACAGAGAAAAAACAAAACAAAAAAAAAACAGAACTTTTTCCTATATACCTACTACTTTTACATCAAACAACAAAATAAAATATATTTCTTGTGTACAAAAAAGAGGACACTACGGTTCATCTATTCTTTTCTGCCTCCACAAACGAGATTTTCAATTGTTCAATATGAACTGTGCGTCTTTTTTTGGGCTCCTTCATACTCTCTATGGTTACTAAATTATGTTCCCTGATGGAAACTACCCTGAATGGGCCTTCGTATCGCGTCAATTCTTTCTCTCGATGTGTTCCCCCTTTCCGGTAAACGGTTATTCCGATTTTCAAATCTCCCATCTGAAATTCTCTCTATCAACCCCCTTCCTCTTTTCCCTCGTACTATATCCCACGTCCTCCTTAATTCAACTCTATTACTACTTATTTGTTCGGCCACTTGGTCGTTAGTCGCCGTTTCCTCGCAATCTCGTCTTCGTCCCCGCGTCCAAAACAGTACTTCGAAGGGTGAGAACCCAGTGACAGAGTGAATTGAGTGGTTATAAGCTATTATAGCTTTTTTCATAGCAATGTCAGGCTCTAATCCTTTTTCTCACTGATACAAAGCGTATATAGTCGCTTAGGCTATTATGCAGCCCCTCGATGCCACCTTTGTTTTTGGGGTGTCCTGGTGTATTGAAGTGCCAGTTTATCTCCTCCCTCATCCATACCTCACATTTCATCCATGTTTGTAAAGCTTCTAATACTGCATCTGACGATTTCTCCAATATTTGATAAGCCATAGCGAGTTTACTAAAGATATCGGTTATGGTGACACACTTATATCCTCTCCACGTCAAGGTGTCGATCTGGAGATCTTGTAATGGTGCTTTTCCCGTGAGTGCTTCTTCTTGTCTTCCCTGAGGGGGGTGTCTGTCGTATTTCGTGGTCATACAGACCTCACACGACCGTATCGTTTCCCGGATGGTCTTTCTCATTCTCCACCAAAGGTACTTTCTCCGTGATGGCTGTAAGGTCTCGTTTACTCCCCGATGGTTCGTTTTCCTCTGGTGATACACAAGTGTCACTTCTTTTTGTCGTACTTCGTCCCTTATTGTTTCTACCATATATTTGCATAGGATAAACATTCTGTTTATTCCGATTTTCTCGGACCTCAAAATCTTCTTGATTTTCTCCCATATTGTGGCATTCTCCATATAGACATGATTCGTCTTTCCTGGTTCTGATGCATCCTTAAGCTCCCTGCAGTTCTTATCTTCCCGCACCCCTGGTTACGACTATATTGTGTGAACTTTGCTCCTACCGTAACTGCTTTAGTCTATTTTCATCGTAACCGCTGTTCTAGTCCTCCAGATGACCTGGTGATGCTTATCATTGATGATCTCATCAATCTCCTCCATCTCTGCTGGCCTATCCTCCGTCGAGCTCTCGTCCTCTAGGGACTCCTCTCCCTGCCCTATGTTTCTCGCCCTGTCCTCTCCTTCTCCTTCAGGTGTCCATTCACTTAAGAATTGGGGTACATCACGTGATGGTCCCCCGCTGTCCCCCTGCATTAACCATCATGGCTCTAGATAGCCAATCTGCCACAACGTTCTCCTTTCACGGCTTATAATTGTTGATTAGAACCAGATATTCCGCCATTTCAGACAAGAACCTCCTATAATAATTAAGCGTACCGAGAAGTCCTCTGGTTCCTTTAACATCTTGCGGGACCGCCATTCGCCTAATAGCCTCTACTTTCTCCGCATCCGGCCTAACCCCGTCCTTCGAAATTGTGTGGCCTAAAAAATTAATCCACTCTTGTCCCAATAACGATTTTTCTCTGGATAATTTTAGTCCAAAACGGCTCAACCTCTCGAATATGTCTCGCATGTGTTCTTCATGCTCAATTTCCCTCTTGCTAAAGACCAGCAAATCATCCATATACACCTGGCATACAGTTCCATTTAAACCCCTCAAGAACTCATCCATTAGGCGCTGAAACGTTATCGGAGCATCCTTTAGTCCAATCGGTATCCGGGTTAATTCGCAATGCCCCCTTTCGAATGTAAATGCCGTTTTATGTTGGTCCTTCTGGTGTATTTTTATCTGGTGATACCCTGCTTTATGATCCAGCGTACTAAATATTATCGCCCCACTCAGCCTGTCTAATACGTCTTCAAATCTGAGGATCGGGTATTTTCGGTCTATCGTATTTTCGTTTAGTTTCCGATAATCTATCACCACTCGGTACTTCTCTTGTCTCGCCCGGCCCTCCCTTCTTTCTCACCGCCCACAAAGGACTGTTGTATGGAGAAGTGTTATTGACTATTATCTCCTGCTTTTTTAGACTTTTCAATTCCTCCCGGATATGCTGTCGAAGTGCTTGTGGGTACCGCCTCTCCTTTGCGTACGACACTCGCTCCAGCTTCAGTGGTATCTCATGGACTGTCCTCCCCGCTACAAACAGTATTTCTCCCTCTTTGAACAAAAGGTTTTTTCCCGCGCTTAAATACCCCTTGTGTCCTTACCTCTGTGCGTTTGTCATCCTAACATAATATTCCAAGTCCCGTTCCTGTTCTTGACACTAATCCCAACCTACCCGAATAGGTCACACCCTATTATCGCCTGGTGTTTCCGAGTAATGTTCGAATTCCCCTTATTTCCTGTCCAGCGGTTTATCGCAATCACCGCTTCTCCTTCCACGTTACACGCCTCTCCCAGGGTAATTAATTTACAATCGCATTCCTGAATCCGCGGTGCCCTCTCATTACCACACACCATCTCTAATGCCCCACGGGTCATAATAGTGCTAGCGCTTCCCGTGTCAACTAAGCACCTCACTCTCATTGTAGTGATTGGCAACCAGCAAGACTTACTTCTTATATTATTACATGTCGCTGTGCGGTCGCCGCTCTGCAGACACACTTCTCAGATCCTTGCTTGCTTACTACTCCCTGTTGCCGCTCGCCGCTGTCCGCTCCACTGCGTAGTCAAAAATTCCATCTAAGTCTTCTTGAAGTTTTTCTGTGGCAGATAATAGGTCGGAGGGCGGAAAGGACAGGTATATTTGGAAATCATCTGCATAGATGTGGTATTGGGAGTGACGGATCAGGAGGGGGAGGTCATTGATGTAGATAGCAAACAGAGTAGGAGAGAGAGAGGAACCCTGAGCGACACCACAGGAGAGGGGAAGTGTATTTGAAGGAGGTTGATCAGGGACTACTACATACTGGGATCGATTGGAAAGGAAGGATTTGAACCAAAGCAGGACACTGTGGGATAGAGGAAGATTTTGCAATTTGGTAAGAAGGATGTTATGGTCAACTGTATCAAACGCTTTGGAAAAATCTAGAAGGATGAGGATAGTAATGTTTTGGTGTTCAATGGAGTTTTGTAGGTCATGGGTTATTTTAAGAAGGGCAGACTGCGTTGAATAGCCGGGTCGGAAGCTAGATTGGAATGGGTTGATAAAGGAACGTTCCTCTAGGAAGTTTGAGGGCTGATTTTGGACAAGGCGTTCTAGCGGCTTTGAGAGGTTTGATGGGAGAGAAATAGGACGGAAGTCGTGCAGTGAGGTAGGATTGGCAATTTTATTCAAAGGTCGGACTAGGGCGGTTTTCCAGGAGGATGGGAATACGGAGTTTTGCAATGAAAAATTGTAGATATGATAAAGAACAGGAATAAGGTCAGGAATGCTGGGTTTTATTAGTTTTACAGGAATATTGTCAGGACCATAATCATTGGTGTGGGATTTTAGGATAGTGGAAAGTAATTTATCATAGGAAACGTGGGAGAAAAAGAAGTCTTCAGGATTGAATTTGTGATGTTTAATATCGAAAGTATGAGAGGAAGAGTGAGTAAAGGATAAAAAATGGTTATTGAGATCATCTGGAGAAAGATAAAAGGAACTACGATTAATGGACTCTGGTAGGGATAGGTTACGAAGTATTTTCCATTTAGATTTGGAGTCGGGAGCATTGAACAGGGAATTATGGAAGTAGGTGGCTTTAGCAAGACGGACTGCGGATTGGGTTCCATTGCGAAGCGCCTTGAAAGACGCATAATCAACAGCTAGACGGGTTCGACGGTATTTGTGCCTTGCTGCATCTCTTCCCCTCATCATTTCCTTTATCTCAGAGGTCAGCCAAGGTGCAGTGGGACGGCGTAAGGTTTTGGTTTTCAGAGGAGCGTGGATTTCTAATATGGATGTAGGTTTGAGGTCAGGGTGAATACCATAGGATCAATGGAGTTGTAGGAATATATGGTATCCCATTGGAGAGAATTAAGGTCTGGTTGAAGGGATTGATAGGAGAGAAGGTTTAAATTGCGGTATGAAACTATTTTGGGAGTGAAGGATTTTACGGGTAGGTCGTATGTAATTTGGATCAGGTCATGTGATGAAAGAAATGGAACTGGGCGTAGAGAAGAAGAAAGGATTTTGATAGGAGAGTCAGAGATATGAAGGTCTAACCAAGTATCGAAAAATTGCGTGTGGTGGGTAGGAGAATAAGCAACAAGATGAAGATTAGGGGAAAACAACAGGTCGGTAAGGAAATATTTTTCTGGAGATTGTGAAAGCATGTTCACGTTAAAATCACCGGTAATGATAATATTGGTGTAGTTGGAGACCAGGTTAATGAGGGAAGATTAAAAAAGGTTGTCAAATGCAACACGAGGAGGGCGATAAACTACGGTATACAACAGAGGAGAGAAAAGAGAGGATATTTCAACGAACATGTATTCTATGTGAGGAAAATCATGATAAGGAGACTGTAGAAGGATTTTGGTCTTAAAACTGTCATGAATATATAATCCGACACCAATTCCCGTGCGATGCGATCTATCGTGAAGTAGGAACGAGTAATCTGGCAAGGAAATCTGGGAGGATGGGATAAAAGGTTTTAACCAGATTTCAGGTACTGCTATAATGTGGTAAAAATTGTCAAGGAAATATTTCTGGAATTCATCTTAGTGCGCAATAAGGGATTGGGCATTGATGTGGCAGGAATTCAGAATATTAGTCATTATAGTAGAGTTGGGAAGCAGATGTTTGGTGAAAAGGATCGATGATAAAGGATAGGATATAACATTTTTTTAAACAAATACTCCGTTTAAAAATAATAAAAATAAAAAAAATATTAAAAAATTTCTAACCATAAAATAAAAGTTGAAATGGAAGCAATGAATTTCCAATATTTCGAAATAAATATTCTGTTAAATATAATTTATAGCATAAGAAAATATAAATATCCCCTAGTTTTAAATACATTGATAAATTTTGGTAAATAACCAAATAAATTTGTAAATCATTTATACAAAAATAAAGAATGCTGAAAGTAAAAAAGATTAAAATCAAAATATTTCTGTCGAGAATAAAAGTATACAAAAATAAAAAAAGCTTCGATAAGAATAAAAAAATTAAAAAGATACATTTCTATAAAAATAAAAAAAAAACTGAAGATAAAAAAAATAAAGTAAAAATATTTCTGGCGAAATTAATGTATAAAAAAAGCTTTCAAATAAATAAATAAAAAAAAGCTACATTTACATTAAAGTAAAAAAGTATGGGAATTCTAGAATCTCACAGGGGTAAAAATTGCAGTAGTTGTTCACTTGTTAGAGAAATTGACCGATAAATATGGTATCCTAATCGGGTATGATGTACTGAATAAAATAAGATCTTAGCTAACAGGTAGGCGAGGAAGTTGATAAAAAGGGGAGACGAGTATCGTGTACAAGTAGTCAGCATAGGAGAACCCGAAATAAAATTACTGTTGTCTAAGTTTACGGGCATATTTTATATGGAGGGATGCCCATTAACCGCGACCGGGATAACAGCACATGAGATAATACTTAAAGAGAACAAAGTCTTCTATACCAAACGGCGTAGATATTCTATGACGGCAATAATAAATGAACAGATACGCAATCTCTTTCGCCAATGAATCATACGGCATAGTACCTCCCCGTTTAGTAGTCTGTTGTGGGTCGTAGAGAAAAAGAGACAAAATCAGCAAGGTGGTCCATCGTATCGTTTATTAATCGATTATAGGAAACTTAATGACAGCACTATGGAAGAACGGTACCCACTTCAACAGGAGCCGTTACGATCTTATCATAATTAGCTCATCCCCCTCGAACCATATAGATCACCTCAAATTGGTATTTGGGTGCATTCAGGAATTCGGTTTAAAATTATCCAAACAGAAAACCCATTTCTTTCAAGCGGATAAAAAGATTTCTTTTTAGAGCATCTCATCTCTGAACAAGAGGTCAAACCAGATCCAGCCAGGGTCATTGCCATCGTTAGGGTACAGCCCCCAAATAATGAAAAAGGAACTTAAGAGTTTCTTGGTCATGATAAGCTACTATCGTGAGTTTCTACCCAAAGCGGCTGTTCTAATTTCACCACTCACTCAGCTCTTGAAGAAAGTTAGACCATTCCTCTTTACTGAAGAGCATTTAAATAGTTTTTATTAGAGTAAGGAAATTCTCACCGCGGAGCCAGTTTTGGCGTTCCAATTTGAAAATTTGGTAATAAAGACAAGGTAAACAAAACGAAAATTTACTTCTAAATAATTAAAGTACAAAACTACAAAAACTGTCATTAATATACAGATGAAGTAGTTATTAAGAACGTTACAAAAATACACAAAAAAGAACACTATAGCCAGGTAGAATTACAATATTAATTAGCGATAGTCATTGTTAATACCACCTTCTCCTACACATGCGACATTGGTTTCCAACAAGGATGAAACCACCTACCACACTATGTGCAGATGTGATGTATTGACTAAAAAGAAATATTACCATTTAGTTATGACTGCATTATTGATCCTAAGCTCTGCAAATTGATTGATCCTACCAGCATATACAAGTTGACAAAGTCTACTGGCCTGTTTTAACAAAGAGTAGGATGGCCCACAATAGGCCCAAATGGGTCTGTAGTACATTAATGCCGAAATTAAATATATATATATATATATCGGTCAAATCACCTCCTTGCACAACCGTTGACCTAGAAACAGTGCTTCCCCTGAATAGTACTGAACCCCAGACACTTCATGGGTTGTAGTGGTACAGATATATATATATATATATATATATATATATATATATATATAAAACAACATATTTTATAGTTTTCATAGGTATTAAACTAAAATATTCTACATTAACTGATGCATGAAACGTTTATATTTTGTTTTTATCAGGGTTTTAAAAATTAATATTCATATAACAAACAGATCGATAATATTAATTTTATCCTTGTGTCATAATAATACAATAGATATATTGTCAAAAACAAATTTGTATCAGTTTAAATTAAACTAATATTTATCCTATAATTCTCGAATTTCAGTTGTCATCATAGACGGTGAACACCCAGAACGATCAGATGAAAACAATAAGATATTTATCGAAAATGTTTATTCTTCTTCAGAAACTGATCAAAACAACCAATGGTTTAGTGAAGAAGCGAAAACTGATGTGGAAACAACAACTGAAGGAAATGGTAAGTAGGCCTGAGCTCATATTACTCTGTTCTATATTTTTATCTATATCCCTTCGGAAATAATAGACTATTTGCACTGTATCGAAAATCGTCAGTAGAAAGCGGGGTTATGGTTTCTATCCGTTTTGTAACCACTAGAGCACGATTCTGCAATCTTTAGAGATATAAGATATTTATTCCCGCTTTATTTCCGCTACGCCAGCTGCCCATGTTTGACCGAATAAGCTGAAATTCGGTATATAGGTTTTATTCCCAGGCGGAACAAACAACGGAAACGTTATGACTGCATTATTGATCCTAAGCTCTGCAAATTGATTGATCCTACCAGCATATACAAGTTGACAAAGTCTACTGGCCTGTTTTAACAAAGAGTAGGATGGCCCACAATAGGCCCAAATGGGTCTGTAGTACATTAATGCCGAAATTAAATATATATATATATATATCGGTCAAATCACCTCCTTGCACAACCGTTGACCTAGAAACAGTGCTTCCCCTGAATAGTACTGAACCCCAGACACTTCATGGGTTGTAGTGGTACAGATATATATATATATATATATATATATATATATATATATATATATATATATATATATATATATATATATATATATATATATATATAACAACATATTTTATAGTTTTCATAGGTATTAAACTAAAATATTCTACATTAACTGATGCATGAAACGTTTATATTTTGTTTTTATCAGGGTTTTAAAAATTAATATTCATATAACAAACAGATCGATAATATTAATTTTATCCTTGTGTCATAATAATACAATAGATATATTGTCAAAAACAAATTTGTATCAGTTTAAATTAAACTAATATTTATCCTATAATTCTCGAATTTCAGTTGTCATCATAGACGGTGAACACCCAGAACGATCAGATGAAAACAATAAGATATTTATCGAAAATGTTTATTCTTCTTCAGAAACTGATCAAAACAACCAATGGTTTAGTGAAGAAGCGAAAACTGATGTGGAAACAACAACTGAAGGAAATGGTAAGTAGGCCTGAGCTCATATTACTCTGTTCTATATTTTTATCTATATCCCTTCGGAAATAATAGACTATTTGCACTGTATCGAAAATCGTCAGTAGAAAGCGGGGTTATGGTTTCTATCCGTTTTGTAACCACTAGAGCACGATTCTGCAATCTTTAGAGATATAAGATATTTATTCCCGCTTTATTTCCGCTACGCCAGCTGCCCATGTTTGACCGAATAAGCTGAAATTCGGTATATAGGTTTTATTCCCAGGCAGAACAAACAACAGAAATGTTGTGAATGCATTATTGATCCTAAGCTCTGCAAATTGATTGATCCTAACAGCATATACAAGTTGACAAAGTCTACTGGACTGTTTTAACAAAGAGTAGGATGGCCCACAATAGGCCTAAATGGGTCTGTAGTGCATTAATGCCGAAATTAAACATATATATATATATAAATCACCCCCTTGCACAACCGTTGACCTAGAAACAGTGCTTCCCCTAAATAGTACTGAACTCCAGATCCTTATTTAAAAATTAATATTCTTATAACAAACAGATATATAATATTAATTTTATCCTTGTGTCATGATAATACCATAGATATAATGTCAAAAAAAATTGCATCAGTTTAAATTAAACAAATCTTTATCCTAAAAATTTCGAATTTCAGTTGTTATTATAGACGGTGAACACCCAGAAAGATCAGATGAAAACAATAAAATATTTATCGAAAATGTTTATTCTTCTTCTGAAACAGATCAAAACAACCAATGGTTTAGTGAAGAAGCGAAAACTGATGTGGAAAAAACAACTGAAGGAGATGGTAAGTAGGCCTGAGCTCATATTACTCTGTTCTAGATTTTTTAAAACATTTTTGTCTATTTCCCTTCGGAAATAATAGACTATTTGCACTGTATCGAAAATCGTCAGTAGAAGGCGGGGTCGCGGTTTCTATCCGTTTTGGAACCCATAGAGCACGATTCTCCAATCTTTAGAGATATAAGAAAAATATTCCCGCTACGACAGCTGCCCATGTTTGACCGAATAAGCTGAAATTCGGTATATAGGTTTTATTCTCAGGCGGAACAATACTATTAAACTTTGGAAAAATGTCGTCAAAATTTCGCAATGTAAGAATGTTTTTTTCACGTTTTTCCTTATTTTTATTAAGTATTGAGCATCTCCATATCTCTTTCTAACAAAGTTGGAAGGTTGAGATTTTGGAAATATATTAAGCTGGTGTTGTGTAGAGGTGCCTTTGAGTATCACCAGTCCCATTTTTTTCAAGATGCCGTCTGAAAAACTTGGTTTTCTATAGACTACAGCACTAAAACTGCTGTAACGGTATTGATAAGTTCATTCCTGAAGAAACACTATAAATTTATGTGTATAACATACTTTCTCGAAAAAGCACTTGAAAAGAGTTTTGACGAATACAAAACTTTATTTGCGAATAGCTCAAAAATCGTGCACTATTTGCAATTTTTGGTTCAGAATATATTTTGAAGACATTTAAATTTCCTATAACCGATAAAAAAAAACTGTTATCGAAAACCTTCCAGCAATTGAAAAGATCCGTCATACCTTTTCTTTAAGACAAAACAATGGTCAGATTTAGAACATTTGCTATATATTTGGAACAGCATATCTTTTTAATAAATAGTCCGTTTTTTGTTCAAATGAGTATATACACTATTAACATAAAAGTTAATACTTTTTGTGTTTTTCGGATATCCAATGTTAACATTTTAATTATTTTTTTCGGCTTATTTTGGGTAAAGTTTATTATATACATAAATTTAAATTTCTTCAAGAAGAAGACTAGGGCCATATTTTATAAAAATCGCTTCGTCAATTTATGCGAATAGGCTTTTTAAATTTATATTTCGCTGGTCTTTAAGAGTACTAATTCTGGTATGATAATTTTTATAATTATATAGGTAGCTTATTACAAAGATATACTTAGATATTAAATATATATTTTTAAACGTCCTAAACATTCTGTATAATTTTTTTTCCAATGTGTTAGTTAAAGTCGTCCGCTATATTGAACTTATGTAATTAGGTAATAATTTGCAAAGCTTAAATTTCTCTATTTAACGCCAATGAAATATTTGAATCCCTTTCTATTTTTTAAAATTAAAAATAAGTGGAAAATATAACATTAGGGACGAACCTCAGCTGCTTACGCCTTTTTCTTTCAATTTGAATCATCTAAGGCTTGATAAAGAGAAATCTGATACTAACCCAATAAGGCTTCATTTTTTTTTTTTTCTGGAAACCATGTTTTCCTGTAATTTAAAAAAAAAAATTTATTGATGATATTTACAACTGCATTACAAATAAAAATGCATTCAGTAAATGTGAACAAAAGAATATAATATCATGAAACCACTTGTTGAGAAATTACCCACTGGTAGCACTCTAAAAATGTATTTACAAAAGGAGATCTCGAGGCCATCTTCTTTTCAGACGCCTCGGAGGGTCCTGTAATTAATTTTTTTAAATTTACTTTCCCCTTTAATATTTTAAATAATGATCATACTTTGGCTGCTTCGAACTAAAAAACTAAGTTCAGACTATGAGTAGCCACATTTGTAATTTAACAGGTTTAAGTTGTCAACTTTAAGTAATTTTTCTTGAGTTCCTTTGCAATTGATTTTTCACATTGTTCCATTAATTATATTAAAGAATCCTTTTGTGTTTGTTTTTCTGAGGAATTCAATAAAATAAAACTATTAGATTAATATTTGCATTGATTTATTAATATTGCATAAGGATAATTTGCAATAATAATACATTTTTTTTTCATATTGCAGTTATTATAATAGACAGTAACAATCCTGCAAAAACAAATGCATCATCAAATAACAAGATTTTTGTAGAAAATATATATGTACAGTCCCCTCTTGAAATGGAACAAGGTCATAAATCAAACAGAGAAAAAAACGAGACAGAACCAACAACAGAGAGTGATGGTAAGCATGAATCCATTACAAATTGCATATTTCAGTTAAGTTAAAAATTTATTTATTTTTCTGAATGATATTGAATAATATTTTGGGATTACTAGGTAAAAGATATTACATTATCAATTTTTTTTTTCATTTCAATATAAAAAGTGTGGATAAAACTCTTTATTGCCCTCAATTTTCACGTTTTACTGACTGAAGTTATTTTTTTATGTTAAATGTTTCTTTGTACATTAGAAACTATGATGGTAAAAAGTTGCTTCTCATAGTAAAATTATATCCTGGGATTTTAATATCAAATTTTAAAGAATCAATTCTCTACTGTTAAGAAGAAAATCGGAGGACAAAAAATAAATAAAACCCTTCACTTGACCATTTTAGGAAGACAATGTTTAGGAATCAAAGTATCGTGGAAGATAAGACTAACTCTTGAAGAATCGCTTTGTAAAGGAATTTCAGAGTTTTAATGGACAAGAGACTGGTGGATATTTACAGCAGCAGTATAATAAGTTCTTCCTTCAGGCTTTAAAAATAAAGCTTAGCTACCCCGAGGGTTTGACGCCGATACCACCAATCGATATCCAGATTCTTCTATCCACTGGGCTCCGTCTAAACACAACTCTACCAGATCAGCCTTAACGCAATCTTCCCACCTCCGATTTGGTCTATCCCTCGGAAGCTTGGCAGTCCGTACAGCGCATGTTAACTTTTAGGGAATTCTTTCGTTACTAAGCCCAGCAATTTTACATGCCCATTTTATTAACCTAAACTTAATCATCTCAATTATATTTATATACTGGATACAGTTCACGCAGTTCAGCGTTTTGTAACCGCCTAAATTATCTGGTTGACTTGTCTTTTTTTGGTCCTAATATTGTGCGCAATACTTTATCTTCAAAAACCATAAGACGGTCCTCATCCCTTAATATAAGCGGCCACGTTCCGCATCCATAAAGAACCGTAGGAAAGATAATGGTTTTGCAATTTCTAATTTTTAAATTTCGGGACAAGAAGTGAGAACGAAGTAGTTTTGACAAAGAAAAATAATAAGCATTTCCCACCTTCAACCTAATCTCGATCTCCTCTTAAATTTCGTTTTTTCTAGCTACCGTAGACCCTAGATACCTAAAATTCTGTACGTGTTCAAACACGTTCCCTTCTATATCGATATCATCGAAATTGTCGCTGTTTTTGCAGCTAACCATCCATATATTTTGTCTTATCCATATTTATATCGAGTCTTAGTTCTTTACAGGCTTTCATTAACGTTGTTGTATTTAATTTTATTGTTTCCATATCTTCTCTTAACAGTTCCAAATCATCAGTATACTAAAGCACACACCTATACTAGGTAAGGAAATTATCGCGATCTGGTCAAATTTCCGATATGCGGTTTTTGACGGATCTATACGTTTCTGAGCCCCCTGAGTCCGAAAAAACATTTTTAGCCATTGCTATGTCTGTCTGTCTTAGCCAAGATTATCTAGGGAATTAGTGAACCGATTTTGTTGCTTCTTTTTTTATTTTGTATGGTTTTTGATTATTTGTGGTGTATACTTCCAATGCTTCCGAATCTCAATGAACGAAACTACTAAATTGCTCAAAAATAATAAAAGGAGTATCTTAAAAATAAAATAATTGAAATAGAAACTAATAGAATCGAAAATAACGTAACATGTACAAAGGTATAAACAGATCACGTAAATGTTTAGGGCCCATACCGTCTGGAATTACGGATGAAAATAACAATACTCTGACCGATCCGGTTAGCATATTAAATAATTTTAAGAACCACTTTGACAATATTTTAAATACGCGTAATTATGATCTGTGTCCTCCTTCTGAATACCAGAGCGCTGAACCGTTGATAGAAGGACCAAGTAAAGAGGAAGTTGAAGTAGCTATCGGAAAATTAAGATCTTATAAAGCAGCGGGAACCGATAATATTCCTGCAGTACTAATTAAGGCATGCGGGGAAGCTGGAGTTTCTAAAATACATCGGTTGGTTAATAAGATCTGGGAGAATGAGAAATTACCTGAAGAATGGAAAGAATCTATTCTTATTCCGATTCACAAAAAGGGCCCGAGGACGGATTGTAATAACTACAGAGGAATTTCACTCCGGTATGTTATAAAATACTAGTAGGCCCGTGCGAAAAATTCGCACAGCATATTGTTATCAGATGCCAGATTAATAAGAAAATAAAATAATGCAATCTATCAAAAGATAAAGAAATCAAATGTTACTTAATCGATAAATATAATCGACAAAGAAAACAAAAATTAATTTAAATCTTCATTTTTGTTTGGAACCAACATGTTTACAAATTTCAGTAAGCTGTATCTTTGCTAAAAATTGTCCGATTTCAATAATTTTGTTTTCCTTTTGTAGGTAATTAAGTAATCTTTTATATAGTCACGAGCATAGCCAAGGGAAAAGTATGTAATTTTTTAGTTATTCGCAAATAAAGTTTGTTTTCTTTCATAACTTGTTTGCCTGAATTTTTGGGATGATTGGACTATTTTGCCCGCCTGAAGGAGAAGGAAGCCTTCGAAATTGGTGGCTCAATCTTGAAATTTGGTGAAAAATTGACGATGATATGGCTTGCCGATCAAAAACACCATCTATAAATAATATAAACTCCTCCTCTCTCGATCATAGAGACCTCAAGTCGACGAAATGAGACATGTATTCAATGACAGTACTACAATTAATGTAAGGTTGTGTGGATGCGAACCCTATGCCTTGTGTTATCTCGAAAACAGTACGTTTTTGGGCTTAAAAACGCAGGATCCGATCCGATCCGGGATCCGATAGTCCCTACAGATCTACCACTGTTCAGGTATTGAAGCCTAGCAATATGTTTGTATCGACTTTATTTATTTTAGAAAGAAAAACAAAAGTGGAGAATACGATTCGCTAACCCCTCGTGAAATTCTGAATCTAACAGTACCCCATTCATGGTATTTGAGCATGACAGGAGCTTATATTTGGTACAAAACCGATTTCGAGCCTTACTGTAATAATATATGTACGGATTCACTTTAATCTTAACCAGTCGAATCACGGAATACGCAGAGGAAATTATCGAAGACCACCAATGCGGTTTTAGACGGAATCGTTCGAATATTGATCAAATATTTTCTTTACGACAAATATTAGAGAAAAAATTAGAGTATAACGGTATTGTTCACCAGCTGTATATAGATTTCAAAAAGGCTTACGATTCTATTGACCGCCAGTAACTGTATAATATTCTAATCGAGCAGGGGATTCCAAAAAAACTAGAAAATCTAGTCAGGATGTGCTTGACGGAAACACTCAATAAAGTTTAAAACAGGGGTATTCCCTTTCGCCTGTCCTTTTCAATTTGGCATTAGAATATGCCATTAGGGAGGTAATGCGTACCGAAAAAGGGTTGGATCTGGGTGGGACAACATCTGTGCTGGGCTATGCTGATGATCTGGTACTGTTGAGCGAAGACGTGGAAACTATGAAGCTAAATACGACAACGTTAATGAAAGCCGGTAAAGAACTAGGACTCGAAATAAACGCGGATAAAACAAAATATAGGGTTATCTGCAAAAATGGCGATACTACTGGTGATATCGATAAATTGAACATTTAGATAAATTTAGGTATCTAGGTACTACGATAACTAGAAAAAACGAAATTGAAGAAGAGATTAAGGTTAGACTGAAGGCGGGAAATGCTTGCTATTTTTCTGTGACAAAACTACTTAGTTCGCGCCTCTTGTCCCGGAACTTAAAAATTAGAATCTATAAAACAATTATCTTGCCTACAGTTCTTTATGGATGCGAAACTTGGCCGCTTACATTAAGGGATGAGCAGCGTCTTAAGGTTTTTCTTCAGCGTCTTAAGTATTGGGTGGAATATTCGGACCGAAGAAGGATGAGTTAACCGGAGAGTTTAGACGGTTACACAACACCGAATTGCGTGAACTGTATCTGGATAATATAATTGAGGTAATTTCATCGCGGCGAATCAAATGGGCCTGTAAAATTGTTGGGCTTAGTAACGAGAGAATTCCAAAAAGGTTAATATTTGCTGTACCGAATGGTAAACGTCCGAGGGGTAAACCGAAGCGAAAAATATACAAGTCCTATATACCAAAAATGTTTTGGGGCCTAACTCACTAAGTACATATTCTATGGTAAAATTTATAATAAAACTTTTGAAAGATAATTAAATTACCAACAAAACAAAAAAAAAAATCATCGGAATCGAACCATTATTAGCGTTGATACAGCTTATTCTGTTTTCTACACATGTTTTAATTTATTACTTTCCTACCTATAGGAAGTTAAGGAAAGTATTGCGATAGCGCCAAATTTGCGATATGCGATTTTCGAAGGATCTTTACGTTCCAGAGCCCCCCAAGTTCGAAAAACACATTTTTAGCCATTGATCTGTCTGTGCCAAGATTTTCTCGGGAACTAGTTAGCCGATTTTGTCTCTTCTGTTTTTCGAAAAGTAATGAAATTCTCTAGAAAGCTATATAAAAATCGTTCATTTTGGACAACTATTAACGAAGTTACAGCTATTCAATTTCCAATGTAGGATTACGGGTTTATATCCTGATGTCAGAAAGGGGTGAATAAGTGAAAAAAGATAAAACTAAAAAAATCTGTTGCCAACCTCCACTTTTAACAGAAATTATTGTTTCACAAAATTAGGCTATGGCAAAAGGTTTTTGATCAGCAATATTAGAGAGTATTGATATTTTTACACTGATCTACCTTATGCCGGTTTACATTGCTTTAGTTTATCAAATGAATTGTACTCAAATCTTTTCTTTGATCGGTTTTAAGGGAAATAAATGTAATTCAATTTTTGTTTTAGTTTCTTGATGGACATATGTAAAGATATAAATTTTTTTCTGAAATAGGAAGGAAAGTCGTGTGTGTGGACACACCAGATTTTTATATTACGTTTTTGTCGAAGATTCGCGATTACTAATTCATTATCTGACCAGCATTCTGTCCCACGATAAGACCTTACATTAATTATATTTTGCCACCTATGGTGTATCACTATGTGATCGATTTGATTTCGTGTTTGCGAATCCGGTAATGTCCAAATATATTAGGGAATATCCTTATGTTTAAAAGTAGTACTTTTAATTATTAGTTTTTTTCGAGATGGCAAAATGTATCAGCCGAATTCCATTATCATTACTATACTATAGTCGTCTAAACTTTCTTTCAAATCGTGGGAAAATAAACCTCTTCCCTTCCCATCTTTTCGTTAGCGTCCCCTAAAATTATTTCCGTGCAGCTTTGCGGTACTTTATCATAAATCCACTCCAGTTTATCATAAATTTCGCTTCGTCATCACTGTCTCTAAAAGGGTTCAGTGTATGACATTTAAGAATCTCTTTAAGAATGGATTAGGTCAGAAATGACAGATCTTATAATACGTTTGCCATTCAAGGGAAGTATGAAAATTTAGTGTCTAATAAGTTAATGAATAATAAGGGAATGGGTGTAAAAATGAGTGTTGCTGAGGTTCATTTACTGTCTAGATTAGGTATATTTTTCGCTCATGATACTTACAGAAGTTTTATGTCCTAGAACTCTGTGTCGTAATTGGTATATAATTTTTCCTCCTCGTGAAGATTAAAAACTAAATAGCGTATTATAAATGCATATATTGATGACAAATTTTAAAATTATCTTTAACCTCCTATGTTTAATAATTATTTTTTAATTTCAGTCATCATCATTGATACTGGAAAAACAGACTTATCAAAAGTAGAAGGAGTAAATAAAGAAGCACGTTTTTTAGACAGAACTGAAAAGGATACTAAAATCATTCCTTCAGATGATGAAGATTGTGAGTACAAGTCCTATATATTCCAAATTTTCATACTATACAATTAAATTTTTACGAATCGATATAAAGAAAAACTAATCCGATTTACTGTCTTTTACACAAGAAATATAACAAGCTAATATTTATTTATAAAATATTAGAGGAAGGGGGGAAAGAAAAAGTCGTTTTCTTACATTAAATTCAAACACATAATTTAACACTAGTCTTTATTTTAAATCATTGATAGAATCCCTCTCATTAGTGTGGGGGGAGGGGTGGCCGAATGGGCTAAAGAGTGTGCACTGCACCGCCGTTGCCCGGCAAACAGATATATGACTCAATGATACAAAAATAGTCTTTTCGTGTTACAGAATAACACATTTTCTCTTGACAATCGCTGGCCACTTTTCAGTTAAAGATTTATTTACACGGTCCAATTATTCACAATAAAGGCCTCATCCACAGTTTTTCAAGAGTTCAGAACTTCAAAATGAGCAACGCAGGGAATTAGTTTTGCCCAAAATCGGTCAAGACCCAAGACCGCCTCACTGTTGCATATCACAGACTAAGATTGGTAAAAAAAAATCGTTTTTTTGGGAAAAAAAATAGGCAAAATGGTTGCTAATATTTGACGAATTTAGTGACTATATGTAAAGAATTGGTATAACCAATATAGTTTTACATTTAACTCTTCCAATTTTTCATTCGGGCTTAGTTAGTTATTCCTTATCTGAAAAATTACAGTAATATCTCTCTCTAGTAACTGGCTGTCCAGTAAGGTGCCAAAGATGACTCGGTCAGAAGGGATAAGTACACCTCGTGGTTAACCAGCCAAACAAAGAACTCGTCGCTGCCAACGAGAAACATCTCCAGCAATAAAAGTGAACACTTGAGATCTAGAACCTCAATCACAACCAGGAACTTCTTCACAAGAAATGATCGAAGAATCAACTTTCTTTATTCCAAACCACTACCAAGTGCATCAAAATGACCGAAAGGTAAAGGAGTCTGCAGCTATACCCACCCACATTACAAATGCCTCCTCCGATATTTGTGAAACATATTAAAAATTTCTAGTTGTTCTGCACCCAACTAAATAAAATCTTCTCTGGCAGTAATGGTAGCCTTAACAGGAACAACGATACAAAAATAACACTAGATACTGCTGAAAACTACCGAATAATAGTGAAGTACCTCTCAGAAACGAATGCGAATTTTCATACGTATAAGCTTAGGCAGGAGAGATCGTTACGAGTAGTAATAAGAAATTTACACTCCTCAACCCGAACTGAAGTGATTAAAGAAGAACTAACGATGCTTGGTTTCAATGTACGTCAAGTAACCATCGTCTTAAAGGTGTGATCTCTGAACAGCATTATAAATGTCCTTTGAGACAAATTGTAATATTTTTCAATAAATAATTTTTTTTTTAAAGTAATTGGCTACTAGATAACTGTAAGACTGTAACGAGACTCTAGCGCAAAACCAAGGCAAAAACTGGGTACGCAAGAACACGACTCGTTTTGGGCAACACTACATATCTCGCATTTGGGCAACACTACCTGGAATATTCCACCAAACACACAAAAAGGCCTTTTGGAGGAGTAACCCTGGCTTAGCAGTACATCGTGGCGAATCTTTTGGAAAGAGCCACTGCCTTTTGCGTTTTGGATTAACATACAGGATCCAATTTTCATCTCTGGTTATCAAGCGATCAAAAAAACGCTTCTGTATTGTGGCGTTGAAGTAATTAGTTGCATAAGGTGGTTTCCCAATCTGTTGCAAATATTCTTGAATGATCAACCAAGATTGGTTAAGACTGTTTGACAATTAATGATTTGCCTCGACTTCTACCCTTTAGAAGTCATTATCTAACATTCAGAAAGATCAGAAAGATCTTTACTACCGGATTTGAACTTGAAAAACCACTTTTGGACAAATAAAAAATGAATTTGGATCAACATCTCAAACATAATTGGTTGCAACTGTTTCTTTAAGACTCTTAAACTGAAAAAGCATGCAATGCCGGATATGTAACTTTTATGGACAGCCATTTAACCTAAAATTGAAAAAAAGAAAGTTAATTTAATTATTAGTAACTAAGGTAATTCAGTATCGGAATGTCAGTATCCGCATTAAACAAAAAATTATCTGATGGAGGATATCCGATATTCATGAGGATAATCTCTTCCAAAACTATATCAGCAGCAGCTTTAACAACGCGGAGTCTTTCTCTATGGATGTCTGTCTACCTTTTTATCATCATATCAACTATGGTTGAGTACTTTGTAATCAACATTTTTAAAGCAAACGACTGATGACCTATTGACAGTCTAGGCTATACCTTCTCCGTACTTTTTCAAAAGATGTTGTTTGACTGTCATTGCGTCAGAAATGAAGTCTCCATTAATCTTAAAAAAAAAAAAGGACAATTTGATGCCCAGACCCGCTCCGACGCTAAGGATGGTACCAGTCACAGTCTCATCTCACCCGGCTTTTCTGGAATTCTTCGAATTTGGACTGTATTTTTTAACTGATATTGCTCAGTATAATTTAACCGAATTTCCAGCTCCGATATTTTTTTCTTTAAGGTGGTATTTTCGATAGACAATTTTTCGACGTGTTTTTTCTGTTCTTCCAGCAGGGTTTCTATTTTTAACAGTTTTTCCATATTTTCAAAAGACAGTTCCGACTGTTTGTTGAAGGAGTCTTTTATTTCCTTTAACTCGTCTATGCACTGTAGCTTGGTCTTCATCTCCCTAACTTCCGCGATCAGGGCCTTCAATAGGTCAATCATTGTAGGCTCCGAGGCGCAATCGGGGCATATCCATTTATTGTTAATTTCTTTTAGGCCTTCCGAGTCTCTATGAATTTTGATGCATTTAGCATGAAATATATTTGTGCATACTGTACAGGCTAATTTGTTCTTCTCCTCTCGTGCCACCGATTTACTGCATGTTTTACAATTAACCATTTAAATGAGATTATTATTTCTTTAAAATAGAGCTATTTAAATAATGAGAGTTAAATGAAAACAATGAGCAACAAAACAACAACACACCTGTATGTTTGGGTGGCGGCTGCCGGAATTAAGGTGAAGCTTGATAAACTGCCCCCACTACTCTCACTCAACTGCTTTTATAACGGGCACTTTATTACAACTTTTGTTAATATCAACGAAGATAAAAAACTACTGTTAACTCTATGGAATTTTCCGGATGCTATATTAAATAAATGTGGAGATTTTTTAACCGGAATGTCTATGGATAACTATTAGATAACTAGTGTAATTTTTTTTTTAAACTAGTGGACATCTTTAAATTAAAATTTAATTAAAGAGGCTTATTTGACAATTCATTTAACGGAAGAAAATCCGGCTGAAATTTGTATATGATGTCAAGAATATGTCTCTAAAAGAGATTCGCCTTGACTGACGATGCACACGGTTGCGTTTTAAAAACTGACGCGTCAATGTCATGGAATTAGGCCAGTTAGATGAGAAAAAAATCAAACAGCTGGTTTTACAGCTTCGATGTCGTGCGCTTAACAGCTGCTTAACCCTCTCACATATTAATGTATTTACATAAGGTACATAGAAAATGAAATGTACAATCAATCTTTAGAATTGATTATAATTAATTTCTTTGAGAGATGCATAGATTTTGAGTTTTGTGGTAAAAACCGACGACAATAGACATTTCCTGCGAAATAAGCAGTCAATACTCCTCACTTGTACGGCCTACACCAAAAAGCGTAGAAAATGTTTTTAAGAATAGGCAAGAAATAAAATATTTTGGAAATGGGGAGTAGGTTCTTGGTCCATCGCATTTAGGAAGAATGGGCAACCCTGCCAAGGAATTATTACTTGGTACTAACAAACTTTTTAGGTGATCCTTTAATTTTGTCCATCAGTGTATATTCATAATATGCTTAGACCACGAGCGGATCTATGAGGGGAGAGGGAGGGTCTTTGGGGATGAGGCCTCCCCCCCCCCAAAATGATAAAATATTACCATGTTTGACGGAACAAAATATTCAAAAATTATCTCTTAAAGTATTGTAATTACATTTAAAAGGACTTTAGGAATCACTTAAACACCATTTCATATAGATAGTTAGTTTCTTTCTTTTTTTCCAAAGTAATTATCATTATTTTTATGAAAAACAAGCTTTCGGATTGAAGACCTCCCCCCTCAAAAAAAAAGAAATTAAATCCTAGATCCGCTAGTGGCTTACACTAACTATTCTTATTAATCAGTATTACCTATATTTTTAAGTAAGATTAGCACATCTGCAATAATTATATTCTTGCTTACATTAAGTAACATAACTTCTTGGTTTGCAGTCATTATCGTAAACAGTGACACTAAAGAGAAATCAGAAGATTCATCTAAAAAATCGATTTTATCAGAAAAATCAAAATCTTCAAAGACGGATAAATTTATAAAATCGCAAGAAGGAGGAAATAAAGGTGTAGCTAAAAATAATAGTGATGGTAACAATAGAAAGATTTGCTAATAACTTATTAACCTTATAACCTCTACTTTTTTTTATTTATTCTCAACAACTATTCCTGTTTAAAATCATATCGGATTAATGTTAATTTTTGAAATTTTGTGATATCTTGATATGAATGAAAACCACAAAGTTCTTTTTGGATGAAAAGGAAATATTAATATTAATTACTGGCACTGATAATTATTGTAGGATATAGCCCAGCAAGTGGATCTTTTAATCTTATCTAGAAGTTGCCACTCCCACGTGACCAGATTATTAATATCAGGAATATTTCCCTGAACCTCTGGAAATGAATATTAACTGACCCAGATGGGAATCTAACCCAAACCGGTTACTCTAGAATGTTTGCATTGATGTGCTCATCCAGCAGTGCCTTGATTGATATTAATGAATACTTAATTCTTATTTGTAATATTAATTATTATAAGAGAGTCTTATGCATAGCAGGTTGATGGTAATAATAAGATAATTACTTCTAGAGTTCTTAGTGAAGTCAATATTTGTGCTTCAATAAAATTTTTTCTAACATTCAGAAAAATTCTGTGGCATTAAAATGAAGAATAAATGCCTAACATTATTCTCTTATAGATAATATATTTTGCTTAATATATACAATTATGAAATTATAACAGTCACAAGAAATGTTCGCTCTGTAATTTTTTTTATTTTAGTGCTCAACTTATGCAACAAAAGAACAAAACTCCTAAAAGAAAAACTAGATCAAATTCCTCAGCATCACTTGGGAAGCTATAAAACTAGCACTGATGGTAAGTTCAAGATATTATTCGATACCATATATTTTTTAGTTATAAAATAATTTCTTCAGAATACACCTTCATACAGTAAATTTTGTTTTTAAAATGTATTAATTATAAAATACATTTTATTTGTTGGTAAAAAATGAGCATTAAATAACCTAACTCTATTTTGACAATAAAATAAAATACAGCCAATACTTCGGTGATGTTTAAAGCAGAGTATATGGCCAGATTCTCCAGTCAAGTCATGAGTGTCTGTGGCTGTAGCGCTCTTACTCATCCTCCGCTGCTTTAAAATACCAGTGAAGTGGCTGAGGGAGAAGCGTAGGGATCTCCTAAGCCTCCCTTTTCCCTCCACATGTGGAGGGGACAGGATTGGTTCGGAGATCACCTGGCAAATTGTAAATAATGTATATAGGTATGTTTTATATAAGGTGTTTGTTTTACTTTTATTTCTATTTTTATTTACTTATGTGTATATATATATTTTTTTTTTCTTTACTCTTCTGTTCTTTTTTCTTATTCTTTTGTTATTACTTTATTTATTTATATTTTTGTATATACGGTATGAATGCAATCTCTGAACTCTATTATAAGTGTCCTTAAACTGTGACAAATTGTAATATTTCTGAATAAAGTGTTTTAATAAGAAAGCAGAGTATATGTATAGTTCATTCATGTTTGTATATGCGGATCTTGTTTTTGTATTAATACCTATTTTATTACCATTTCAAGATTATGTTTGGGGAAAATATATATTTTATCATTTTACAAAAATGATCATTTCAGTTTTGTTTCTGTTGAGTTGTAATCCACATTTTGTAAGGTATTTAGATGTTTACTTATTTTTTTCTCTTAATCTATTGATTATGGTGTCAGTTCGGTATTAGGAAAAATACAACCCAGTATCATTAGCAAAACGGGTTATATTAATATTTTTTTATTTTAACAAACATAAAATAAATAATGTAATATCAATAATGTAAACATAATATCAATAATAAATAAATTATTGCATGATATTCTTGTGTGAACGACCAAGGTTGGTTAAGTCTGTTTGACAATTCCTAATTTGCTTCAACTTCTGGCCTTAAGAAGTTATTATCTAACGTTCTTCCTGATACTAATCGGAAAGATCTTTACCACCGGATTTGAACATGAAAAATCAATTTTGAAGAAATAAAAAATGCATTTAGATAAACATCTCAAATATAATTGGTTGCAACTGTTTCTTTACTACCCTTGCGAAACTGAAAAAGCATGCAATGCCGGATATGTAACTTTTCTGGCCAGTTATTTAACCTAAAATTGCAAAAAAAAAAATAATTTAATTATTTGCAACTAAGGTAATTCAGTATCGGAATGTCAGTATCCACATTAAACAAAAAAATATCTGATGGAGGATATTCGATATTCATGAGGATAATCTCTTCCAAACCTATATCAGCAGCAGCTTTAACAATGCGGAGTCTTTCTCTATGGATGTCTGTCTACCTTTTTGTTATCATATCAACTATCGTTGGGTACTTAGTAATCAACATTTATAAAGGAAACGACTGATGACTTATTGTCAGTCTAGGCTAAATATTCTCCGAACTGTTTCAAAAGATGTTGTTTGACTGTCATTGTGTCAGAAATTAAGTCTCCATTAGTCTTACTTATTAATTCCTCCAATGAGAATTGACATTATTCACTATAATCGATAAAGTATCAATAAATTACCTCGAAGGCCGCTTCCACCTGTGTAGCGGGTCGGAACCCTCTTCTTCGACCTGATACTAAAATGTGATATAACTTTTTGTGACACACATTATGATATCTCGCATCTTCTGCCACCAAATCGACTGAAAAACAGATGGATTGGAACTAGATGGTGACGTTGGTTTCCTTTTTAAATTAAAGGGATTTACTTTGTATCAAAAGGATATCACGCTCCATCCCTTATTCGCTCACTGACAATACATTGGCTATTATTTTTACTACATCTTTCAATTGATGATATTGTTGTTTCATTTCTTCTACAATTAGGTACTTTCTGCAACAATGAATACAAGTAAAAATATGCACATGAATGTTTCCTCAAGCTATAAGAAATAGATTTTTTGGCTTATGATAACATAGAAAAAAAATATGCAACAAACGATTCTTTGTGGAGTAATGATACATTTTGTCACAATTGAGGACATCAGTAATAGTGATAGAGTAGCTCATCTAAAGAACAGCCTAAAGCATACAGACCCATATGTCTCCTCCCGGTGCTCAGTATAGTACTGGAGCATCTAATATTAACATCACTGAGATCAGTTCTCCAAGCAGCGAACAAGGGCACTAAAAAGGTGAGAGCAGACAGATGCGTTAATGCAGGTGCGTTTAGACGTAGACGAGAGGACAGAAAAATACGATATGATGATTTCTTTCTATATATCATCTGCCTTTGACAGTGCATGGTGGCCCAGTGTACTCCAGCGGATGCAAGAGTTCGAGGCGCCCAGCAACCTGTATTCCCTTGGGAGCAGCTACCTCTGTAAAAGAAGAGTAAAGATGAGCGGTAGCTATTATGAGCAAAGAGAGATAGAGAGAGGTTGCCGTCAGGGCTCGGTGTATGGATCGGCGCTATGGATACTGTTTGATCAACTACTTGAGGATCTAGAAGCGGAGGGATTCAGAGCCACTGCGTACGTGGACGGTCTGGCTGTGATAGTCACAGCAGATAGCAGAGCTAGGTTTGTGATAGAGGCAGAGAGGAGTGCCAGTAAAGTAGGAGAATGGTGTACCAGAAAGAAGCTGAGAATGGCGGAGGCTAAAATGAACCAAACCATGGACGGAACTCTTAAGAAGGTCTAAATGAACAAGAGGATCTTAGCCCGGAGGAAATATTAGACACCGGACAAGAGGGTGTTGTTAAACAGGCCTTCTTACTTCTTAAAGAGAAAACAGACAGGGCTCACCAAATAAACCTGCACCTGCGAGGAGTAAGGGTATGAGCATGTGAGGAGGTGAGGTACCTGGGAGTCAGATTCAAGAGAGGGTTTGATTTTACCCCATATATCCCATATTTTAGAGACAGGATGACTCTAAAGTAAAGGCCGGTGATCTGTCACAATGGTAAATTCTTTTAGAAATAAAAAATCTTTAAAATGTGTGATCCCAAATATAATAACCCAAGCTTTTCTTTCGATGATGGCATACTTTCGTTGGGCATCAGTCAACATTTTAGAAGCATATGCTATCGGGCGTTCATTATTTTTATCAAGAACTACTCCCACTGCTTTGGCTGATGCGTCTACTGTCAATTGCAATATTAAATATGGATCAAAATGTGCTAAGACTGGTTCAGAAGTTAAGATCTTTTTGATTTTTTCAAAAGCTATCTGACAGCTTTTTGTCCAGATAAATTTTACATATTTTTTTCCTAAACGGTATAATATTTCAGAAGCATTGAGAATAAATTTCAGATGAAACGTCACCAGTCCTAGGAACGATTTGAGAACAGTAGCATCCTTAGGTGGTGGAGCATCCTTTATGGCTTTTATATGCTTATCTGTTGCATGTAATCCTTTCTCATCGAATTTATGCCCCAGATATTCCATAGAATCGCACATTGAAAAAGAACATTTACTTAATTTAACTCTCAGGTTGGCTGAGTTAAGAAATTTGAGTATCTTTTCAAGCCTTCGATTGTGCTCCTCTCTGGTCCTACCGCTGATGTAAATGTCATCCAGCAAAGATCCCACACCCTGGAGTCCTCGGAGTAGATTGTCCACAACTTTCTGAAACTGTCCAGGTGCACTAGTGATTCCAAAACACAAACGTGTGTACCTAAGCAAACCAATATGGGTATTAATTGTAGTCAAAGGTTTTGAGTTATCTTCTAAAAGAAGTTGCTGATAAGCGTCTTTCAAATCAATCTTTGAAAACAATTTAGCTCAGCCAAAATTCGAGCATATATGATCAAGCCTTGGAAGAGAGTATTGGTTGCTCAACAGGACTGGATTTATCGTAAGGCGATAATCACCGCAAATGCGAATACTTCCATCACTTTTAAGGACTGGAGTAGCTGGAGTAGCCCATTCGCTACAGTCAACTTTTTCTAAAATACCTAGCTCAAGAAGTCGGTTCAATTCGTCTTCCACTTTACTCTTCAATAAAATAGGTAATCTTGCTTTGAAAAATTTAGGCTCGGTCCCCTCTTTAAGTTGCAATGTAATTGTATAGTTGGAAAATGTACCTATGTAAGACTGAAATACCTCAGGATACAAATTAATAATGTTAGAAATATCACTAGATATGTTCTTAATGTGAGGATCCACAAATAGAATTTGTTCAGAATAAGCAGACTTCAAAATGTTTAAACCTTGTCTGCCTATCTGTGGAGGTCCTCCATTTGGAATAACATGGAATGAAATTTGTGGTAGCTACCTTGGTGGGCAGGGACAGGCTGTGAAGCAGAGAGAGAACTTCGTCATTAAGTGCTGCTATAAGATAAGCTTTCTTTACTTCCTCACTGGTCACTCCGCAATACAGTAAAATAAAAAGTACAAAAGTATTTTCTAACCGCTCCAAAAAAGTGATTCCAGATACTTTCACCTAGAATAAAAATCTTTGGGGGCGGTAAACTCATCCCATCCTCGTCACCAAAATAATGTTGTGACTTCGACTAATATGAGACAAGACACACACAAAAACTTACGGGATAAGACTTGAGGTTGCAGAATATAAAGATAAAAGACAATGTGCTCTTGTAACAAGTTAGAACAACAACCTTTATTAATCGTACGAAAAGTATTACAAAAAAAGTATCATTTGTACAATACAGATGTTCAAAATATCATAGATCACCATGTGACTTCACAACACTATCTGTATAAATATCCAACGAAATAAAGAGAGTTGTATATAAGGAAAACCTGTACCACAAATGGAAAAAAAATAAGTTCATTTAAACTTAAAAAAAAAGATCATTTAAACTTTTAAAAAATTAATAAATATAAAAGTAATATGTAGTAAAT